GCATATGCCATATTTACGCGCATAAACGGTATCACCAACATCAATTTGGTTCCGTATACACGTTCTTTTTTTGCACTTATAGCTTACGCAAATAGTCCTTGTTACACACTATTTTAAATGGTTCCGGCGGCCAATAATTCTCAGCACCCACTGGCTACAACTACCCACTATATGTGTTTTAGTATGCAGCAACACTGTATTGCCTATCGACATTGTTGGTTGCCCCTAAACCTGTATGTTGAAAACACTTCATGGCATGTGAGCACGACATGTGGTAGATGGACCATTTCCCACAAGAACACAACCTTTTGGCTTCATTTACGGTGCGTATATTATTCCCCCGGTGTTGATGGATAGCGGTGCGAACTTCAAAATTATTTCGCTCGTTGCAATACTGTAAAAATGAATGCCAATGTGCTCACCTCCTGTATTTCTAAATCTTTTCATTGGTATTGGCATAAATTCAATACCCCTCTCCATCAATTCTGATGCACCTCTATACCTTTCAACAAACCTCTCCGCCATTTGTTTGAATGACATCCGCACCATGGCAGTTACAGGCAATCCACGTGCAGACTTCAATAACTCGTTGAAAGACTCCGACACATTTGTAGTCAGGGTTCCCCATCGTCTGCTACCATCCGCATGCAATGTCCACTTGTGAAGCTCATGTGGCATCAACCAATGATAGGCACTTTCGTCTAACTGCCGGATCGATTTCATGTGCCTCCTGAATTGCACTCCTGGTGATCAGTTGCAGCCATCCACATTAAATCATGCAAGTCCTTGTTGGGATATTTCTTTTGGAAATTGGCCTTCAGGTGCCTCACACAGTAACGGTGGTATGCATAGGGTTCCTTCCATTTAGGCAAATGCTCTACAGAACTTAATATACCACCATGCCGATCAGATATTAGACAAATACCTGAACGTTGTTTGACAACGTGCTGCTTCATGTGGTTCAAAAATAGCGTCCATGTCTCTTGGCTTTCATTTGCACAGATGGCAAAAGCTAGTGGAAATATTTGTCCATTGGCATCTACTGCAACGGCGATCAACATCTTAATATCGTAGTTTCCATAGACATGAGTACCGTCTATGGAAATTATCGGACGGCAATGCACAAAACCATCAATTGCTGGTTTAAATGCCCAGAACACGTATCTGAATGTATATTCCGGTATTCCTGCACTCCGCTCAAGCTTCCATTCAACAACAATCCCAGGGTTAAAGTGTTTCAATGCAGCCATGTACCTGGGTAGAGATGCAAATGACTTATCCCAGTCACCACAAACAATTTCAAATGCATGTTTGTGCCCGAGATATGCCTTTCTTTTTGTAATAGTACACCCATATTCCTGGTGGACAGATGTAATACACTCTTTGATCTTGTACCTTATGGACGCTTCAATGTGTGGAATAAGTTGAAGAGAAATCAAGTCAACATCCAAGTTGAAGTGATTCCCATTGAATGTGTCTATTTCACAATTGTGGGTGCCAATATATTTACACACTTTACACAACCATGTTTCCTTGTTGCTCGCACGCAGCATCCAATAACAACCCGTAAACCATCTACGGCAAACAACCTTGTATACATCCGGACTTGACTCCCATACCATCATCTCATGACACTCTCTTATGATGTACATTTTCGCAGCCCTGGTTAGGCGAGCTTTATCAGGAGAAAACATGCCCTTTACCAGCACCGTTGGTCTAGACTCATCCCACATTGCTGTCCGAATTTCGTCAAGATCCCTTGTGTGGCCATCCACATTCGGCATACTTGGCAAATGATCAAGATAGGAGCCTTGAATAAAACGGCACGTAGGACTCGTACACTCTTGGTCTAACGGAAGGTGGAGCATGCTCCCTCGTCAAATCAGGTTCGACATTCTGTTCCTCCTCATCATCACCCTCGTCAGGGAAGGGTGTGTCATCTCCAGACTCATCGGCATTGTTGTCATAATCACTATTATCTTCCTGACTCTGCGCATCTGCCAAATCCCGAGTAAATACGTCCTCTATGGGCAACTAAGTGAGGACAGGACCATCAAGTTGCTCGTTTTCACTGCACAAACAATAAAATAATAAGCTACTCAAATTGACAAATACTTTACATATAGCTATATCACTTCACTTACAAGTCGTAATGTGTTGACATTCCATGATGGACATGTTCGGCTAAAACTGCTCCAGAATAACCACCCGATGATTGAGGGTTATCCCTGCTAGGGGTGTGCATTCGAATCGGTTTATTGATAATTCGAATCGATTATTTGTTATCGGTTTATCGATTTATCGATTTCGATTTCGAAATTTTCCTTATCGAGTTATCGATTTCGATTTCGATTTTGTCCTCTTCGGTTATCGGTTTATCGATAAACCGATAAGAAATACTAAAAAATAATTTTTTTTAATTTTTTTTTTTTACCCTTATTCCATAATACCCTTTCCTTTACCCTAAGTTCCTAACCCTATTATTTCATCTACCACATTTAAGGAATGATCATATTTAAAGCTCAAGGGAATGAAGTTCAAATTAATGGAAAATAGAATTAGCCGTGATGATGTATTTTTATTTTTTTTATACCGTTGGAGTGTTGGTGGCATACATTTGATCCCTTACTTTAGTTTCGTTGTATGTGCTTGTTGGCACAATTTTTATGTTATAAACGGTGTTCGTCTTATTTTAGTTTCTTTTGGTCCATATTAGTTAGGCGTGTTTATAGCGATATACTTTCCGTGGAATCCCGCAAACTTTCTTATTGGTGTAATCGATAACCGAATCGATAAGCCCCAAAAATCATTAAATCGAAATCGAATAAATCGAAACCTTATTGAAACGATAACGATAAGCATATGTACAAATCGATAATCGATAAGTAATTATCGACAAGGGTCAAAATCGAATCGATAAATCGAATGCACACCCCTAATCCCTGCTTTTCGCAACCTCATTATTGCGAACGTCTACAACCTTCACGTACATTTCCAATATTTTTATCAAAATAAGTTTCTGGTATTCATCCGAAGTCCCCAAAAAATCTCTCAGAGTTTCATCATCCTCGATGTTAAACTCAGCATAACAAGCAACCCTTTGCGGAGTCACAGAATACGAATATCTTCCGGTTATTTTAAGATTCACCAAACGTTTGCGCGACCTCATTTTATTGCATAACAATGATACCAGTCTACCGTACTCCATTATAAGTGGCAACTTAACATCACTCTTTGGATATAAACTATAGCTCACTGAGTTATTCGCCACCACAACCTCACCCCCCCCCTCCAACCCCCAATATAATGAAACCCTTACTTTTCGTTCTTCAGACATTAGGAAAAAAAAGCTTGAGAATTTAACAAGAAGAAAAATTTATCAGGACTTGAGAATATTTCTGAATGAATTTTTGTAAAACCCTTAACGCCTTTAAATAAGGCAATGCCCAATCGGGGGGGGGGGGGGTCAAATTTTTGGAAGTAAAACGCATTTTAAAATGGCGTTTTACATATTTGAATTATTGTCACGTCAGTTAAGCGCAGAAGAGTTGTTGGTGGGCCCACAAAATAGGTAAACGTGGTTTGAAAATGCGTTTTAATAAAACACAGTTTTAAAAGGCGTTTTACCTTAACATCCCAAACGGACGTTAAGGTAAAACGTGGTTCAAAAAGACGTTTTATATACTTTGGTCACTAAATTGTTTTTCCACCTATTTATATATTTTGAGTCCGAAAAAATAACATTTAGGTTCCGGACTCATTAAATAGGTATATGAGTTAGGCCCCGTTTGGCCATGAGTTTTGCCAAAATAAATTTGGGATTTATTTTCAAAACTCATGTTTGGCCATAAATTTTGTCCACATTTTGGCCAAATCCCAAATCCCAAATTCCAAATCTCAAAATCAGCTGATTTTGAGCCAAAATCCCAAAACTTGGGAATTATATATATGTTTTTCCAAAATAAAGTTGAAAAATATGTTTTGAAAACGTATGTCCAAATACATTTTCATCTTCAAACCAAACTTCACCCAAATTAAATTTTTCAAAATAAATTTAGGATTTATGAACACTTAATGTTCATCAAATGAAATGTACCAAATATGACTTTTAAGACAACTTGGTGTTTTGGTTAAGTAATGGTAGTACGAAGAAGAAGAAAAAGAAGAATGCCATTTGGCTAGTCAAAAGGGGGATGGATATCATTAATTCGGTTGAAACGTCACAAATCTGAATCAGAGCAGTGTTTTGAATGTGTTGCTCACTTTGCTGCTGACGCGGATTCCATATCTCCATTCACTCATTTGTCTCATCTTCTACTCAATTTTTCCAATTTTCAATTTTATAATCCATTATAGCATAAATAATTTCCTCTTCTGACATCTGTCTCTTCTGTTAGCCATCAACAGTCGGACTGACTCCGTATGAGTCATATGAGAAAACTAAATATTATTATTGCACGAATTAGCATATTAATTCATTTTTCTAAAAGCTACAAATTTAGTAAGTCTAGAAAATGCTTATATAACCATCTTTAATGAGTAAAATATATTCAAAATGTTAAGAATATATTAATTACGACTTTCTAGAGATTTTTAAAGGCTGATAAGAAAAATTGTAACTTGAAGTATTTCCTCCCCAAAGAACTGCTAAGTAGATACTTCGACACTAAGGTGTCGTATAAAATTTAAGATTAAATTTATTATATGTTTAATTGTGGCTATTAATTAATATCAGAGATAAATTTTATGCCTAAATATTGGTATAAAATTTTGGCACTCAAGCAGGATCCAAAGAAGAACCACACCTAAGAGATATAATGTAGACAATCTAATCTAATGAAGATATTAGTGACGGCTTCCACGGCTCATATCCGATATTCTCTTTAACGTTTTTAGGATAAATTATTTTTAGCGTTATTATTATTATTATTATTATTATTATTATTATTATTATTATTATTTATTATTATTATTATTAAATCACAATTGGATCCCTTTTCCGTTTCTCCGAAATATTTAACCTCTCTCCATCCTTCTTACGTCTCTCTAGATTTTTTCAGTTCCCCTGAAGTCGATGATTTTCTAAGTTCATTTGACCGAAGAATTCTGCTTTCCAGTAAAGTCCGAATTCTTTTCCGAGAATATCTCTTTCTTCAGATCAGAAAAATAAAAAATAAAAATTGATCGTTGATTTGATTTTCATGATTATCTGTCATTCATTAACTACAGAGTTTTGGCAATCTCGAACGAGTGATTTCGTGAATCAAAGACAATGAAGGAGGAGGAAGAAGAGAAGCAGCGGAGTGGGAGTACTCACAAACGGATAGGAGAGGTGGTTGGTGGGACGGCGGCGGAGTGTGCGATGGTCTGCTGCTGTTGTCCATGTGCAGTGATGCATTTTCTGGTATTAGCGGTATACAAAGTTCCGACGGGACTGTGCCGGAAGATGTGGAGGAAGAAGAAGCGGAAGAGGCTTTTGAGGAATAAGAAGAAAGAGGAGGATTCATGGAAGGCGATGAAGAAAAATAAGAGCGATTTGCTTAACGTTTATAACGAGGAGGAGTTTGACGGTGAAGATGACGGAGACTACGACGGAGTACGAGAAGCCGCCGATTTTGAAACGGAGATGTGGGACCGGTTCTATGGAGCTGGATTTTGGAGGACCCCATCTCAGAAGGAGGAGGATTAACAATTGTATAAGCAAAATAAGTAAGGACTTGAGTGCAATTATAAGGGGAAAATGTAAAAGAAATTGAAGAAAATTTTGGCATTTGAAGATTAATGATTTGTTAGGGCGAGTGGAGTAAATCTGACGAAAGTTCGCCAAAGTATGACAGCATTAAGTGAGTAAAAATTCATCGAACACGATTATTCAGGCGCACACGCCATTTATTTTTATTTTTTCTCTTCTGTACTAGGAGATATGGTCCACCACACGGACTTCACCATGTTACATTTGTACATATATTTATTTTTTTATTTGCTTATTTTGTTGTATTTTCTTCGTAAAATGAATGTGACAGTTGAAAAGCTTTAATATGTGATGAAATGTACTGATTAGCTGGTGTATTTTCCTTGTCATCTTCAGATCACCATATTGAGAGTTTTCTTTTTACTTATGTCATTTATGAACATAAGTTATTGTACTAGTGTATTAGCTTTTTGATCATATACTTGTTTAATAACATTGTCGTTATACTATTTAATACTCAGAACAATAACCAAACACAATGGCCCTACTAATGCAGTTGCCATTATTCTTTACCACATTTATAAACGTCCACATTCTTTATTTATAGAGTTAGTAAAAACTTCAGTACCTATATCCTATGAAAATGAAAAACTATATCTTTGATTCGACTCTGTGAATGAATTTTTTTTTGACAGGGAGCGCTAACCCTTTAATGGATACCTTACGCGATATAAAATTTGATTAGTCAGGATCCTAATATGAATACCAAACACCGGGTGTTGAAACAACCCCCCCTCCCCCCAACCCCCCAACACACAAATTCTAAAATGCACAAGCCGCATTAGAAGTTTTATTTTGTATCTCATATAACTAACACTAGTTTTATGAGGCTCCTTTTTGTCTCACAAACCCCAATCTTACACTTCTGGGTCCACAGAAATCTGGGTCCACAAAATTATGAGATAAAAAAAGCTGCCTCATACAACTAACTAGTATGAGACACAACATAAAATTTTTCCATTGGGAATATTTCAAATGGTTCCTGTGACAAAATTATGAGTCACATTGGGAATATTTCATCAGACAAGACTAATCAGAATCAGAAAGAAACAAAAAAATATAATGTTATATTGTACGTAATACTTATGAATTATGTCAGTCAGTTCATGAATTCAGAATCCGGAAAGAATAAAATTTTACAAAAAACAAAATCATGTTGAAATGGTGGGTTCTACTCCTAAAAACGAATTAAAAAGTTTATAAAGTTGCAGATACATCAGAACGCCCAAATCAAAGAAAAAGAAGAAAATTAATATAACAAAATTAGTGCTGTCATCTCCAACCAACTGGTAATACTTTCATCCACAAATTCCCATTTTAAGTGCACTACAACAAGGATCCCAAACTCTACTCCACTTGTTGAACGGTCATAATGGCAGCTCTGTCAGCTAATCTTTGGCTTTGGCTAACACGTCAAGTCTAGCGCCCGATGAAGCCCAGCCAGCGAAGGATGACTGCCAAAAGCAGCACAAGTATAGCCAAGATCATGCCAGGTTTCCCTAAGAGCCAATTTTTCGTCTTCTTCGCGCCTTCCACTCCTCTTTGAATTCTGTCGGCCCACTTCATCTACAATATTCGGAAAAAAGGATTTAGAATGTACAAAAGTTAATTATACACGAGACTAGAGCTACGATCAATGGTTAAAATATGAGGTTACCATAAACTTAAAACAAAGAGATAAATTAAACTATCCAGAAACCAGACAATTACAAATCCCAGAAAATAGTCGGTCAGAAAAATTTCTCAAGAACGAAAGCCCACTGTTCAAACAGATTCTCATGGTTACATATTCTATTTATATCACAACAAGATGCCAGACTATGTGATAGCATTAAACATCAATATGGCTAGCAAAATGTTCAGAATTTTAGTTAAGATATTTCATTCAAGAATCCAACTCGTAAAAGCCAAATTATGACAAAACCCCATGATCCAAAGACGTGGTTTCAACATATTCTCATCTAAAGAGTTTAAAAATGTGCACCACTTCACGCATATGTACTCCCTTCTTAGTGATAAGTCTTTCTCCTACGACTTCCCACAGCTCACTAACCATTTACTTTTACTTGGACCAACACGACAGACTTCGGCCTTCTCATTCTAATCTGGAGAAAAGTAATTACATGTGCCAATCACATGAAATAGAAATGTGTCATAATAATGCAAAACCGCTCACTGAAAAGAAGGCACACCTTCAGAAGAAAAATTTCCTTTGAAGAACAGAGAAAAGGGGGATACAATCACACCAGCATATTTTTAGTAATTACCATTTTTTCCAAGTCATCTGGTGACAATGATGACATTGCCTGTTGAGCTTTCTCTGCATCTTCCTGACTGAGCTTCAATCCAAATTGTTCACTCATATTAGTCATCATCTCTGGACTCATGCTTTTAATCATTGAAGAGAACATCTGTCAATTTCAGGAACCAAGTGTTAAGGAGTAAATCAACGAAGACCTAGATACATCAGCATAAAAACAGGTAGAGGCACGTACAATGCAGTAGCAGTTAAAGGCACAGCCCCTCTAAAAGCACCGACTCATAAATGGATAAATGTGAAGGGCAGAGAAGTCTAACTAACCCCTACATTGGTATTTGTTAGAAAAGTAGATTTAAAAGTTTTATCAGACGGTTCACAACAAGTGATAAAACATTCTAGATAAAGAACAAATAAGATATGAAATTTAAAGAAGGGTATCATGAAATTTTTTATGACTGGAACTCATGGTGCCCTCAATGCATGTGCTTTTTTACATAGTAATTTACTTATTCTCTTCAAATATGGATTGCTGAAAAGTCAAGGTGGAATGGTATCTTAAAAACAGTTCAACCAAATTAAAACAGAAAAATAGGAAATAATGGTCCGAATATTGGGTTAGTGGAGAGACTTAACTCAGGAAATTTTGAGTTAGCAGCAGAAACATTAGAGAAAATATGAATGTTGGATCTTTATTGATGATATAGGCAATACTAAAACATACCATTACCAAGAAAAAGAATAAAGCCCCTGATATGCAAATTTGCACAAGAAAGGACTGAAGTAAACACCTGTCTCATGGCTGGATCTTTCATTCGGTTTCTCATTTCTTCTTGCAGATCAGCATTTGAGCTTGATAAGCTTGATTGAAGACCATTATTTGTATTAGAAAATCCTTCAGCTGAAGTGCTTGCACTTTCACTGTCATCCACTTTGAAACTTTCCGTAGTGTCTCGAGGTTTTAACTGCTGTTTTGGCCTTGACCCACTAGAATCTATAGTTGTTGCAGCTGATACTGGATTTTTCTCTTTTAACGTAGATGCCATTGCAAACATCTTTTGCATTTCTTCTGGAGACATCTTGCCCATCATATCAGTTGCCATTTTCAGCATGTTGGGCGTTACATTTGCAGGAACCGAACCAGGCCCAAAGTTATCTGAGGAACCTTTATTAAGAAAGGGATTTTCTCCTTGAAAGGAGGAAGCCAACTGGACCATTCTTTGTAGTTCTTCAGGTGACATCTTGCCGATAACATTAGAGGCAGTCTTTACCATTTCAGGGGGTATGCCTTCGGCTTTTCCACCACTGAAGGCAGCTAGGGTGTCTGGATCAGTGCGAGAAATAAAATTCTGGAAGGATCTACAACCATACAACAGAATTAAAAGGTGTATCATTATTGTCTGAGTTATGTTTAAACTACGAATGACTGCCAACATTGGTGAACACAATCTTATACAAGGAGAAGAAAAAAAAAGGAAATGATTGCTATAAAGAAGAAGGGCAATGTGTAGAGCATAGGATTTCTCCTAAGCAAAGCAAGTGAATTTGATCATAACAAAGCATGACCTTTCAGCAGCACCAAGCAAAGGGAAGAAAGTACAATGGAATATTAGACACTGCATCATCTAGACGAGATTTAGCATATGACACATCTTACCACAGACCAATGACCTAGATGCCTAATTATGTTTTGCAGTATGAAAATGAAATAAACAAGCTAATCTGATCGCTGACAACTATAGTAACTCTCTAGTCATCAACAGTATTCCATAAACTCAACAACACTCAAGATGCAAGATAAATAAAACATTCAAAAGACTAAGGACTATGTGTGCATGAAAAAAGTTAAGAGAAAGATGCAATTTGAAGGACATACTACATAATCAATAGTCTAAACCAATTCAGAGTTTCAAAGTACAAGAGGGTGGGAAATTTGAGAGCATATAGTTCTGTAAGGAAGCAGTTTTTGCAACGTCATGGTCATTAATATGTCATTCTTCAACTAAATGACAAGAACACAAGCAAAAGAAGTTCCACACAGACAAAAGCCAATACAGGTTTAAAATATGATCGGATAAAATATATAAGTTGAACTGACAGAAAAAAATCTGATATCAAGAAACAAACCTAATGGATTCTGGGTCATTTTTTAAAGCCTCCAAAGACTCTGAATTTGATAAGGGAGGCCCACCAAGGATTTCACTTTGACTCTTAGGAGGGGTGATCGCTTCTCGTGGTTGTGACGCAACACTTTCTGCAACTTGACTATCCGCGGTTTCAGAAGACACTGGTGGATCTTCTTCGGTCAATTCTTCAATAACCAATCCTCCTCTACCTGCCCGAGAAAGGAGGACTCAAGTTCAATTAACATGTGAATATTTTTAAAAAAAAATCCAAGTACAGCTAAAATATAGATATGTGGAAATAACATACGTCTTGAAGCACCACCTTCTTTCACCAATCTTTTTTGGACTCCCCTAAATAAGCAAATAAAAAATCTTTAGCATCTGAAACCTGATGCGCACTAGAATTTCAGCAAAGAGATCCAAAAGGAAAATGGAGGGATGCCCCATGGAACGTACATTTACCAGTTATTATAGAAAGTGTAAACAAGAATACCTTAAGACATCAGCTATAGTTTCATCATCAGGTGAGACTTCGTGTGCTTTACTCAAGTCAGACACTGCATCCTGTTTATGGTTCAAAATATAAATGAGAAGACTTGACAAATATCTGACATTGTATAGGAAGGATTGGAACAAAGAATGAACAATGAGAAAAGTCATACAAGAGTTGATAAATACTCACTTCTAACTGTCCCAGCTCTTTATAAGCTTGACCCCTACGATAAAGGGCTTTGATATTCTTGTCGTCATATGCCAGAACCTGCACCAGCCATGTATTAAATAACCACCATAACATTGCAGTTGAGAATCATATTCAAGTATGGTTCAATCTCAAAGCTGAACTAACATAAGACTTGAATGTCAAGTTTTCACTTGGCATAGGTTTTAAGATGAGAATAGAAAAAGTTTAACATTAAACGTTAATGAGTATGACTTTCGGGCCTTTAAGTTGTTCTTTTGATATTTCTGAGAATAATTTCTTTTAAGTAAAAACGTCTATGGCGGGAAGTG